AATAACTAAGCGTGGGGTACGGTGTGTATGTCAAAATGGATATATTTGAGGCCTATGATGAACCTTCTTTTGAGAGATTCTAGACCTGAGGAAGCATCAAAGAGCCAGTCTTCTGGGAATTTCTGAATCTTTTCTGAACCAAAAAGGCCAAACTCCTTATGCTGTGCCAACTGTTGTATGTCCATTTTCTTTAAAAATTAGCTGAGCAGTAAGAGTGCAAAGTCTGCCTGGAGGCTGTTATGTTTTCTACCACTAATGACAAGCCATGGTTTTAGCGGCTTGTATAAAACATTGCAAAGAGTTTGTCCCATCCCTTGTATGAAATATGGGAGTGAATAAGGCTTTTAAACACACTCTCTCTAAACCAACTTCTATGCCCAAGAATTAATAAAATCCATATTGAAGTGACAGCTGGTGGACAGAGCTGGCTTCTTCCTGCATCACTTGTGTCTCTAGTGGCCCATGTTCTGGGCTCAATGCACATTTATCCTTTTATTCTGGCATTTATTGATTTTATTTATTAATTTATTTATTAAATCTCTGTTTCCTTAAGGATCATGATTGCACTGTTCAAAATCTAACTCTGGTCATATCAGCACTAGCTATTAACATCATTCTTTCCTTTTGGTGTTTAATTACTGACCTTCCAAAGGCATTCAGCTAATATAAAAAAGCAGACGAGCAAGAATATATTTTTCTCAAAATTTTACATGGCATCATGAACCAGTTTCCATTTTCTGTGCCACTTTGTTTCATATCTTGCCAATGAGTGTGAGCTCTTATTCTTTATCCATTATTTCTTTCATTTTTACCCCTCCCTAATTTATATGTATATTTCTCAAGCTGCCAGAAATTTTAGACTGACTCAGGAGAACAGCAGAAAGTGTGTGTCACAAAGGCAGGGATTCAAATGAATTTTAGAGCAGAAATTCTTCTGCTTATTTATTTATTCTGTTTTTATGCGGTAAGTGGCAAGAAGAGGCAAAGACCATTCTTTTCAAGGGAGAGAATGTTAACTGTTGTTATCTAGGAAGTGGAGTTCAATCATTGTCTCTGTCAGTCTAGTGAGTGATTTCTGTTTTGACACACAGAGAAAAGAAAGACCAAGTCTGCCTTTGTTTTCTCCAACTCCGTAAGCTGGGTCATTCAGGTAATTACATCTTTACTTAAGAAAGAGAGTGTGCGATAGAAAAATCTCTGCTGCTGCTTGTAAGCACAAAGAAAAGACACTTGAGGGAATTAAATTGCATGATGATTTCTATAAGGCATCTGAATAATTTTGCATTCCACCTCTAAAGCAGAAAATGATGAGTTTAATATCACATATCGTAGGATGTAACTTGCAAGTGTCTCAGAAGGCATCCAGAGATGTTTGAGCCTGGTTATTCATTATTTTCTGCTTAAAGGCTGAAGCAAATGTGACTATGAGACTTTGAGCCACCTCTAAATTCATTCCCATTCTTACTTGTAGATGCTACTGCATTAGAAACCAAACCCAGGATGGTTTCTGCTGTGTAGATACTGACAGATACCCCTGTGGTTTTACCACAATCCTATCCCATAGATAGCATTGGTTTACGTTTTAAATGTATTTGTATGTGCTGATGTAAATGCACACGTACATTTATTAACTTCATTCTCCCATTAAAATTCTCCCTATCTCAAAGAGAAACAATTTCAGAAGGTCAGCGCTCTGCTGATTTTTCAGAAATTCCCATCAGTAGGTGGCATTATATATTTAATAAAATGTTAATTCTGTGATCCTGCCTAAATTGCAGGAGATCAGTAATTATGTCAAAATCTTCCAGAGAACCTCAACTGAAATATGAAACTTTATTCCCTAGCTTAAATTGTAGTGTGGCAGTGGGTGAAACAGTTCCTACATGTAAAGTACTTATTAATATGTATGACTCTAAAGAGAGAGAGGAAATACCATTATCATTCAGGAACATATCTTGATTCTTTTGCAAAACTTGTCTGCAAACAAATTGTCTCCTACCTGGGGCACGAGGTGGCAAACTTTGAGTTTAATGTCCCAGTGACTGGGCTGTTAATGTCCATTTTAAGGCCCAATATCTTTGTCTGTGAATAAAGAGATTTTTTCCATTAGGAAGTCATGTGTTATATTAACAATGCACTGAATTATTTTGTTCTGTAATGAAGAATGCTCAAGATGTTTCCCTTTGATAAAATAATGAATGTGATGGGAAGAAAGCATTTCAGCGACACACTGAAATGCTGTTCCGCTCACGCACAGCAGTGCCTGGGAGTAAGTACAACTAACTAGCAATTACTCTAGCAATGTTTAACAACTTACTGAATAGGACGGACAATTGCAAATTTGGACTATGTTTAGTGGGCAGGAATATGTGAAATAGAGGGGTTTTTATATGTTCAAGAGGAGAGTAAGGAACACACACCAGAAAACAGTTGAGCAGTTATTGTGGGCTGACTTAGGAAATTACCTTTGAAATACATTGTAATGAATGACTGGATAAATGTTTTTAAACACTTGCTTGGGTGATGAGCTAGCTGTTGAATGTCATGGTGTCCAAATAAGTGATCTGGAAGCTTAATATTTAGATGAAGGTGATATCTATGAAGGACACAGTTTCTCACAAATAACCGTTGTAACTAGACTACTTGAAAATTGTTTTAATGATCAAGAAAGATCTTCAAAGAAATTTCAGCACCCCAAGAGATTGTCTAAAATTATCTGGAACACCTTTATCAGCAATTTTTTTAGGGAGAATCCTAGGAGAGTTTAGAAAATATTCTCTAGTGATACTGTGTTAGACTGGATGACTTGATCGATTGAATACTAAGCTGAGGCTCAGGTTACCCATGTTCTGCAGGTGAATTTCTTGCTGGATAGCCTATGGAAAGTTATTTTAGTAATCCGTGTCTCTGTGTTCCTGTTTGTAGTCACCTTCTTTTGGAAACAATTTGATAGCTATGGATGAATAAGCATAGTATGACACAGCACAAATCATACAGTTTATGCCAGCACCTCTATTTGTGATGTTTAAAGCACAAATGATACTAGTCTATTGCTATATATCTCACTGTGCTTCTCATTTACTTTATATTAGTAAATTTGTCACTATAAATAATTCTGTATAGTTGTTCTAAAATAAGTATGACTTAGGTCACTGACTTCCATGTGAAGGACATTCGTGCTTTACAAATAGCTAGTTTAACTAGATTATCTCCTCACTTCATCATCAAATCACTGTTTTGAGACTCTACAACATGTTCTGTTTTATGGTGATATGCTAGCGTGCAGCTGATCTCATCAAATTCTGTTTCTGCTGGGGAAATTATCTTATGAAAAATAATATTACTCAATCTTGGTTTTAATTTCTGTATATTTGGAGAGGAAGAAAATCCCATGTGGTATTTCATCCTGTTAATGCTAATCTTTCTCCTCAGTGCTATATCTCTGAATAGCAGATGTGTGCTTTATTGCAGTGTTGGTCCTCTATAGCACAGCATAATGTTTTGGCAGGAGCAAACAATTTATTGCATTAGAATCAAATGTTCCTTTTCCTGTGAAGCATGGTCAGATATTGATATTGCATTAGCTAACATTTTAACATAGGAGAGGCTTAATAAGATACAGTATTACTCTCTCTAGGCTGTTTAATTAAACTAAACAGTCACTGTGTATTGTACATTGGTTTTCTGCCAAGGGAAAGTAAATCTGTATCATATTAGTTTCACATACCAAACGATGTTCTTCCCCAACAGAGACTCTGTAGAAGAGCTGACGCTGCTGTCACATGAACTGCATAACACAAACTGTGTTTGTATTACATTGGACTGTCTTGTAGCTCAGTATTCTCCAGTAGCCTGAGCAAGCTTTGTGTGCAGACAAGACATGTGGCCGGAGAGCTACATCTTGTATTTTACTGGCCATGGTCCATATTTGCCACTGAGGGGTACAAGGCTAAGCATCGTAATCCCTGTCTTGCTAACAGGGCTCTTCTCCATCCCCCTGTTGGGGCAGGGAGATCTGAGATGTAACCACCAGGAAGGGTGGCCAGGTGACATCTGTCACCATCTAGTCACAGAGCATCATTTGTTCAGGACCAGAAGTTGCAAGAGTTTGGGGAAACTGGGTAATCCAGTGGCATCTGCTCTGGTAGCACATTTAGTACTGCATGTTGCCTTCTCACTGCTGCCAATGGCACTGTACAAGGTGATCAAGGTGAATATTCGCTCTTTGCCATGGATGGCATCACTTACATACTATGTGAGGAAAAAGATGTGTCCCTGGACTGGAGACTTGGGCAGCGTTTTCTTGCAGGGCCTCCTGACATTGAATTGCCAATCCAGGAAGGGTATGGGGAGAGCAGGCACTTCTGTGTTAGAGTCCTGGTGTCTTCCTTTGGAGCAAGAGTTGGTGCAGAATCATATGGGAAGCTACAAGCAGAGAGGCACTCAAGGCACTGGCTTTTGGGAGTTGTTCTGTTGAATTACTACTACAAAGCAGTCAGACAAAAACATTTGTGGTATTTTTCCTTATAAACTGCACAGGAAATACTGAAGTCTTTTTTACACAATTTTGAGCTTGTCTTTCCTGGCAGAAAGGTGCATCTGCATATTGCGATGCCAAGCTGTGCAAAGATGGCAAAGCTGTGCCCAGACAATCAGGCTCTAGAACCAGAAGGTGCACTAAGTCCTGTATCAAAGTGAAGGATAATGCTTTGGCTCTATTTTGCACAGTGTCCTGTGCTCCATAAATGTTCCAGCCTTCTCAGTACAAGTAAAGAAACGTTTATCATGGTCCTGTGTTGCACCACACATGCACCCACAAAGAGGCATGATGGTTGGATGCATCAAAGCAATGTCTGTAGCATGGTGCTCTGATACCATCATGGTTAGATTCAAGGATGACAGTGTTGGATTTATGGGAGGCTTCACCCACATAACACTGCTATGATTTATCTCATGCTGAATCGTTTTTTTTTTTTCTCGTTGTTGTTTTCCCTCAACAGAAGATTAACCTGGAGTTCTATATTGACATCCATGCCCATTCCACCATGATGAATGGCTTCATGTATGGGAACATCTTTGAAGACGAGGAAAGATTTCAGCGACAGGCTGTTTTTCCCAAGCTGCTCTGCCAGAATGCTGAAGACTTCTCTTACGTAAGCAATGTTTCTCCTAATTAATTTCTCCTAATTTGTTTTTTAATTATAAATCTCTGGCTTAATTGGACAGTGTGAATTTTATTTTAATATGAATAGAAGGCTACTTAAAATTTTTGTCATCATTAGCGACCATCTTCTCTCATATATTTACCTTATCCAAAAATGGTAAGCTGTGATTTTATATATTGTCATTAGACACATGGAGTAGGTTCTTCATCTCCCATATTATAACCTTTGGTTCTGAATTACTGGAATGCTTAGTTTTTATCACAAGATCTTTTTTATTTTGATCAACAGGATCTGGTTTATTTTATATTGGCAACTTTTTTTTACTTGTACACTTTAAATAATAGTATAAGAACAAATAGAATAATAAACTTGAAAGAAAAGGTTAGATAATTTTCTGTTGAAATTGTGACATAGGCAATGTATACTTTGAAATTCTTTGATATTGCCATGGAAAACTGTTCTGCAAGACAATTGGCAATTGCTCAATACATGTCTTGTAACTTGGAAGAAAGTATGTGGGTAGGTATGTCTGCATATCATAAATAAATGGTAAACTCCTATAAATGAAAGGGGCATATGTTTTTAGAGCAAGTTTCAAATGGAGTAGAACAGATCCTTAGCACACATTGGTTGCAGTAGCTCTGCAGAAGTCAGTAGGTCCAGTGTATTGCAATTTTGTGTCCAAGTATGACATCCTGAACCTTTCCATTGCCTCTTCTGTGCATCAGTTTTCCTTGAAAGCTGTGCAAGCAGAACACACAATGCCCAAGCCTGCCTGCAATTGTTTATTTGCTTCTTCTGGCCCACCTCCCACACCTGTCAAGCTGCCAGCTAAGCTACTTCCATACAGATATCCCGTGCTCTGTTTCAATCTATGCACTCCAGGTTTGCTTAAGTGGACAGTCTTTCAAGTAAGAGGTGTTTGGTGTTCCATTTTGTTTTGACTGGGATAAGGAATATTCAGAAACGCATCTCAGCCAAGGCAGTGGGAATTTTCAACCATGAGTTATGAGGGAAGGTAGTCGATGACATTTGGCAGCTATATAATGGAAACAGGCTCAATCAAAAATGACTTCGGAATCCTGCATCAAGCAGAGAAGAGCAGAAGAATCTACTGCTTGGGCCCTGATTTTATGTCTGTTATGTTCTTAACGCTCTTTGTTATGCACCATACATTTTCCCAGTCTCTGCTGTCCCCTTGATGCTTATACTTCATCTTCCTGGTACTGAGATAAACTTGGCTCTTCTCTCAAAGATGGGGAGAGTTTGGGGCATGGTGCCTGCCTCCTCTGCAGTGACATCCCAGCCAGGTTGTGGCAGAGGGGGTGGAGGAAGGGGGAGGATAGGAACCCTGCAGCATTCCATGTGTTTAGCTCTAGAGAAACAAAATCTAAAACCAGACACAAAAGCAGATGAGTCTGCACAGCAAAAGAAACTTCAACTGAAAAAAACAATTGCTCTTTTCATCATGACAGGAATGCTAGCCTAAAGCGTTCTCATCAAGATGCGGTAGAGAATTTTTCTGTCTTGTGTTTATGCATATTGCACTGTGGAGTTTGAGTGGGGACTATAGACAGTGCCACTGTTTTCTTGACTGATCTGTTCCAGCAAAAGGAAGGAGCAATTGAAACCTCCTGATTCCTGTCCATTTCTCTATTCTTATGGTAGTTTGTTCTATGCAAGTGTGGAGAAAAAATTTGGATCAGTCTTTGACTTTTCTAAGGCTAGGCAGAAGATATAGTCTCCTCTATCTTTTCTATTCCCAGGAGGAGCCTCTAGAAAACCAGACATTTCCCTTTTCTTGGGGTCAGCAGTGGCAGCTGGCTGGGTAATGCCAGGGAGTGTGTGTGGCTGCTGTTGCTTCCTCTGTTGCCCCATTGTATTGTTTGACCATTGTCAGTATTGTTTAACCATTGTCTGCATGTTTTGGGGGTTCAGAGCACTGCTGCTGTGTGAAGCTTTCTGTGGTCAACCACTGCAAGGACTTCTCAGAAAACTGTCCAGAGTGCAGAAGACTGAATCCATACTAAATGAGGAGGCACAGCAGCTGCATCTGTTCCTAGCTGTTTGGAGCCTGGGGAAGAGGGAGCTGGTCTTGTCCTAGAAGACTTCTGTGACTGAGTTTCTTATCTGCACCTGGCTGCTTCAAAAACACATTATAGATAAGGGGGCGTTCACAGATCATAGCAATGAAAACATGCAATTGAATAGGAGTTTGGAAATTTTGTGCTCAGGTGTGGGATTTCTCTCTTAATGTGGGAGATTACTAGTTCCTCTTAGTGCAAGCCTTGGTTGATAAAGGGAAAATCTTTGAGAAAATTATGTAGGAAATAGAAGCTAGTAGTTAAACAAACAGCACAGTCTCTTCCCTTTGACTGTCAATCTCCTTTCTCTAGAAGCTGGCAATTGGAGATATATATATAGGCATCCAGCACACCACAGTTTGACCTAGGTGGTGTTGGAACTCAGCACACTGGGCTTTCAACTCACATCCTACTGGTCTCTTGAGACCGGAAGCTTTTCCCCTGCCATCCACCCAAGCCATTCTTCTCAAAGCAGCTGAGGGCATAGAAGTTTTGGAAAAGGAGACAGCCACAAAGTGTCTGATATGTGTGAAGCAAAAGGAGTGAATACTACTGCAGTGTCCGAGTGGGAATTTCTCTGTTCTCTTGTTTTCAGCTCCAGCCATGTGGGTTATGTGAGTGGTTGGAAATATCAGGGGTGAAGTTTGCTGCTTGAAAGAGAGGAAAGGAATCCAGAGCTTCCTTCATTTAAAAGGGGAAAGTGTTGAAGATTAAAAATAGTGTATGTAAATATGCCCTATTGACTGCTCAAAGGGAAGGGGGAAGTGCATCGTTAACATTACTAGGCTGGTGTTTGAAAGTGTGGGAATGGACCACTGTTGTTACTAATTAATTTTCCAAAGCTTCAGGAGGTCTCATTTACATTGTATGCTGCTGCGGCCATTTGTTGGGATTATAATACTTCAACAGCAGCACTTCAAGTGAAAACTGGCGGCTGCATGAAGTGTTGTCCATAATTGACTAGCTCCATGTCTTCACACAGCACAGAGACAATGTTCCATTATGTTATCCATTGACAGTATCATTGAAAAGATTACTCTCCTTAAAGCATCTGTCAACCTTGATTGATTTACAAGGGACAAAGAACTGAAAAGGTTTGAAGTGCGGGTACAATTTTTGCCACCGTTTAGCATACATAATGGTTCTCCTTTGATGTCAAAAGCTCATCTTCTATTAATAATGCAGAGGGCTTTTGAATGCAAGCTACTTGTATGGAGTTCCACGCTAATAACCTACTTGCTGTGAAATGGGATTCACTTTGGAGAAGCAGTCATTTGTCTGGGTTTTACATGTTCGGAATGAATCCCGACTCAAAGGGATTTCTTTCAGTGCTCTGCATGATTGCAGCTGAGCCCGGCACGGGTTAGGGAAAGCAGGCAAATCCTAGCCTGCTCCTCCAGCCGAGAATCTGGCAGACATCACGCAGCCAGATGCAAAGGAGCATGAACAACAAGCCTAAGATGATGTGATCAAATGCCTTGTGCCATTTTGTCTGGCAACCTTCTATTAATATACTTTAGAATGCATTTCATGCCTGGACTGCTTTCTTCACCTGTCATTTCCAATAGGCCTTTTCATTTACATGACAGCATCCAAGGGAGATTGGTGATTAGAGTAGGGGATGGATAGGGGATTTGTGCCTGTATGCCTGTTGTAGGACCAAAGGCAAGTCACCCAATGTCTCTGTACCCTGTCTGTTGAGCAGAACACTTAACCTCATAGTACTCTGGAAGGCTGACTGTGGTTTGCAGGTTGAAGTTGTGAAAGGGACCAGAAATTCTTCATTTGTACATGACCTAAGAAACAGAGGCCTGCCTTTGGCTTAGCTGTCAGCACATGAAGAGGAAAGTGAAAGAAAGAAGAGCTAGGAAGTTTTGCTCACAAATAAATACATGAGAGAGAGATTCTTGGGCAGCTATCTGGGGTAAAAGGACAAATTCTGTAAGGAAAACATTTTATGTGTTCAAGGTTTAAAAAGGATATTTTTAAACATCAGGGAGTAAATATAATCTGTATGAAAGCTCTAACAGCGAGAGCTGACAAGTTCTTTTGAAAGGCTGATTCATTGGGTTTTAGGAGCAGCTGTTGACACCATGTCTGAGTGCATTACACATCAGCCATGGCCAGGAGTTGTTGCAGTATTTGGAGGGGTGTTCTTCATTTGACCTTTATTGTTCTGGAGAGTGGATTAGTCATAACAACCAGACACTAGCACTTGAGCATTTCAAGAACCTGCTAGTCTTAGGGGTGGCTAATTTTGACCTTTGTGACAATATGAGAGGAGACCATCTGTTCTCTCTGGTTCATTTAAAAGAAACAACCACAGCCATTCTTGGATGGCTTTATCACTTCATAAAGATTGTTTTTCTTTGCAGCTAAAGGATAAAGACTGGCCAGAGGTACTTGGCTTTATCTTGTTGGGTTTTTTCCTTTGGACTCCGAACTGGTGGTACTTGGGATACCTTTGGGTTCTTATTTCATTTTCCTGTATTCAACCTCTCAGGAGAGCACCTTCCTTAGAAATATCGTTTGTCATCCTTTGTGAGCCGTGGTTAGCCTAATAAAAACTTGGAGTCCTGTTATGTTGGGCTCTGGGTAACTTCTCAGAAAGTCCACAACCCCAAGATCTGCCCATCATGCTGGGAGACAGAAAGTGGGTGAGAAGTTAATTGCTTGAGGAAATCTGAGAATAAAACCCAGGCCTCCAAAGTGCCAGTCTGGTGTCCTTGTCAGCAGTTCCCTATGTTTTATACCATGCTGTGCACTCAACGGTGAAGTCTCTGAACAGCAACCCACCCAGCTTCCTTTAGGGAAACATGTTGTTAACCCCAGTGCCATAATGCTGTGACCTAAAACATACTTTCAAGACTGTAATTGTCTCAGCAACATGAGAAAATGCAGACA